GTCACACACATACATGCAGCTCCATGGGAGCCTCTGCAGTCATGTACCCGTCACACACATACACACCCTTAACTGACAATAATAAAAAGTAAGTCTGGAAAGCTCAGGTACAGCAAAGTTTCCAGCTCTTTAGTGGCTCGCTTTGTTCATTCACACTTTGTTTCCCCTGCAGTTTCAGAAGATTAGAAGTGATGCTAGGATTCCTTTGCCTTTTGACGCCTTCCAAGTTCCCGTTTCTGCCCGAGAGGCAGCGGTGGCCTCCAGAGATAACCTAGGAGTCCCAGCCCCTGAGCAACAGGAGGGCCCTGCAGCAGGCCTTGCTGCTAGAACAGGCTCTCCTTTAGCAGATGGCACCTCTGGAAGCGGGAGTCAAAGGGAAGAAGCCCTGTCGTCCAGACACAGCAGATCTTCAGAGAAAGGCAGTGTGACGAGCAAGCGCTCCACTGAGAAGCACTCTGGGAAGGACCTGCTTTCCAACCCTGACTCCCCTGTGAACTCCAAAAGCAAAGGAATTGGGGACAAAAGGTCTTTGCTTAATGAGCCAACTAAAAGTGAATCTTTGAAAAAACACGTTTCTGTCAAGAAAGAAAACAGAATAGTGACTGTTTCATCCAAGACAATCAAAAGTAAACCCAATCCTCTAGAACATTCTGAGAGTGATACTGTTGGGTCTGATTTTGAATTTCAGGAAAGCATCCATTCATCAGCACACCTGACGTAGGTCTAACCTTTGAAATTATGATTTTACCTTCAAATTTTAATAAATTTTCTTATGTTTTTATTATGTGTGATACCTTAAAGTACAGAAACACTATTAGGCAATTTATCTATGCTACTATTTAAAATCCATATTTTTTTCTTTTCCCTCACATAATTCATGTGACACATAGTTATGGAAGGCCTAGTTTATAAGACACTTTCTGAGTGTGGTGGCTCCCAGTGAACAAGATTTTACCCTCATGGAAGTGCTACTGTGTGGAGGACAAAACCCTAAATCGGGGATGCTGCTAGAAAGGGACAAGGCTGGGTTAGCTGAATGGTTGCAGCATTTGGTTAAGTGTAGAAGCAGGAGTCACGTGGCCAGAACCCGCTTCCATATCCTAACTCCTAAGCAGAGCATCAGGCATCTTTCTAGGTCCTTCACTATGGCTAAGTTTGCAACAGCTTTAGTAAGGGTTTGCTAGGCCTTTTTCTAAATGAATTGGAGGAAGCAGCATGTGAACAGCTTGGGATTGTAACAGCTTGGAAGTAGCTGGTACAGTTGAAGTTTGGACTGGGTCCAGCGCCCTGAATCATTGAATCATCCTGTCTCCCAGGTAGGAGCAGGATAGCTCAAGGGAGATGCCAAAGAAAAGCCACTGGGCACCAACAGTGCTAGAGAGGGGCTGTCAGAGGCACATTTGTCCCCTCCCCCATCTGGAGGAGGGCATGAACTGACTTCTAGACTAATTGTTCCTGCCTGGCAAAACACAGATCCTTTACTACAGCCAGACTACGTCAGCGGCGAGATGTGAGAAAAGCTAGGGTGTTCTCTTGTAGACTGCCCTGCCCGATCATTAAGGAGGCTGTGAATTCATTAGTCATGGATGGAGTATCACAGGGACAGAGAAAAACTGAAGGGAAGACATGCAGATGTCTTATACAGTATCATAGTCTTTAGTCTGTGCAGGAGGGAAGCTGTCTTAAGAAAATAAGGGTGTCTTCTTCTAAGAAGTGGTCACTGCACATCCTCCGTAGAGTCTTTACCCGCTGGTTAGAATCCGGTGACTAAGGGAATGAAGAGAGGAGATCCCTGAGATGGGAGCAGCACACACAGGTACTGAGCCAACTACAGACACAAATTTTCGCCCCCTGAAGCCATACAGGCGGAGGCGGGAGACCACAGAAGATCTTGGGGGTAGGAAAAGGGAGCAGAAAGCCAAAATTACATATATGGACTCCACTTTTATTATTTTTAGTTTTTTGGTGCTTGGGATTTCAGGATCGAGGCCTCAAATGCCAAGGTTTACATTTACAAACCTGTGGACTATATACTAAAGTACAGGTGAATTTTCTCTACTTTTCTTTAATCCTGAGGGCTGGGATTAAAGGCATGTGCTGCTATGCCCAGCTATGTTTTTTTTTAATTGTTGTTTTTTGATAATTGGGGTTTTTGTTGTTTTGTTATTTAGTGTGGTGTGTATGTGTGTGTGTGTGTGTGTGTGTGTGTACGTACACGTGGGCTGTGGAATGAAGCCGGGGCTTGTCCACACTAGATCAACATCGCCAAGCTGTGTCTCACACAGCCCTCTCCTACCCTCACCCTGCTGGAATTAGAAGTATATGCCAGCCTGCAGTTTGGTTTTGCTTTTCACTTTTGTCGGTTGAGCAAAGGAGATTTTTTTTTAAAGTGTATTTATTTTGTTTTATGTGTTTGAATGTTTTGCCTGCACACATGTATACATGCATGTCTGATACCACAGAGGTCAGAAGAAGGCAGTGGCTCCGCTGGAGCTGTGACTAGCTGATAATCACAGTGTGGGTGCTGGAAACGGAACCCAGGTCCTCTGCAACGACAAGCGCTCTTAACTTCGGAGCTGTCTTTCTAGCTTCCTTATTTACGTTTCGAAACTATCTCAGTGTGTCACCTGGCTGTCCTAAACTTTGAGTCAGTTCTCCTCTGTATCTTTCCGTAGATTCCAGGGATCAAACCTAGGTCGTCAGGCTTGCCCAGCTAGCACTTTCACCTGGTGAGCCACCTCATCTGGCCTGAAGTAACTGTAAAGCTTTGTGTATATGTATGTATGCTTTAAAAAAATTAGTCAGGGGCAGAAGAGATGGTTCAGTGGTTGGGAGCACATGCTGCTTCTTCGAGGACCTGGGTTTGAGTCTCAGTACTCACATGACTTCTCACAGCAGTCTAAGTCTAGTTCCCAGGGTATGCCTTCATTTACAATGTGGTGCGCTTTCCTGGTTTCTGAGAGCACCCGACACATACATGGTACACAGAAGCAGCACACTTTTTGTTATAGGTTTGTCATCAGTGGGAAGAGATTCTCAGGTATGAACTTACTTTCAGGTGCTCCACTTTGAGCTCCTTGTCTGCTCACTCTAATGGCAAATAATCATTTTTACATATTTTTCAAGCTGACCCTTTCCGATTTTATCTGTTTCTCAGACTTGTTACTGATATAAGAATTTTTTACTGATGTATGTAGGTGAGCTACCTCAAAATCCTTAGGATTCTAATCTGTATGATCTACTCAGTCTGTTT